CGAAGACGTATGAGTCTTTCTCATTGGATTCCCCGACAAATGGCACCCATTGACGGATCAATAAAAAAAAATGAAATGTGATTGATTCCGATCCATGCACCATTTCTTCGGGAATCCATCAGTGGAGGTAAGGCAGACGTATGTTGGAGACATGATCCATCACTGTGGTGGATAAATGTGCGATCCTCCCAGAGTAGTCCAACAAATACTGTACATAAATTCACTTTTTCCTCATTTAATTTTTTTCGTATGCCTTTCGTTGTTTACAGTTTCTTCGCTTCACGTGGTTATTTTGGACATTGTCAACAAGTTTCTGGCCTCACTTTTCGGTACAGTCCGCGCAAATTTATATCAAATGATAGTTCCTCTGAAATTTCAAGCGATTTCGTAAATGAAAATCCAAGAAGTTCGAAAAAAAAAAAACAACGGAAGCCTCGAATTTCTGCACAATTTCCCATGTAACTTAATAGAAAATAAAAGAATTCCAGTAAATATGCTGTTCACTGATAAAAATTTTCGTATGTAATACCACAAGAGCTTCAATATTATCAGGGATTTCCCGATAGGTTCGTTTGTATGCAGGGAATCTTAAGGGAAATACTTGATTGATTTTGAAGCTCGAGTGGTATTCGGAAGAGAATTTTTATATCCAAATTTCCGCCAAGAGAATTGCACTATGAGATAAAATCCATCTGTCAGTTCCAATGAGGGGCTCACTCGACCAGGAAATCTTTTGTTTTTCATATAAATATCAACATAAAAAATTACTAGTCGAATTATCAAAAATTATCGGTTGAATACCGTGTTGCCTATATAAAATAACAGTGGAATAGTAGAATTTTATCGTTTGAAATTTAGATGGGAAGAGTTCTCGTCTTAATTTTCCGTATCAAATCCCGGAAATTTTTATCGTATTCAATTTCTACTGAAATTTCAGGTAATCTTGTCATTTAAAAATCAAATTTTCCATTGATTTTCTGTTCGAATGATCTAAAAATCAATAAAATCCTTGTTCTTCCAGCTCAATTATTCTGGGAAAATTCGTAAAAATCAGAAAAATGCGGGGCAAATAGAAAATTTATGTAATTTTGTTTTTGAAAATTCATATTCTATTGAAAATTCACTCATGTTCTGATATTTTCATCTTACTACCACCGAAAACTTATGAATGTCCTTAAATTCTACCTAAAATGTAAAATTTTATATCCATTTTCCCCCTAAATCAAATTCAATGTCGCTCTCATGAGAATTACCACCATATTTTCCATCAAGTTCCAAAAAATTTCCAACAATGTAATACAAACGCCATATACATTTCTTTAAACCCTCTCCCACCGAGATTTCCCATCGTGCAACATCAAAATCCATCCCTTCAACCACAGTCACCCGATAGAGTCCTGATGCAGACGGCGAATGTGATGGTCAGCCTTCCCCGCTGGTGGGGGAATCGATAATGTTCCGGGGGTTGCCTTCGAGCGTGGCCAAGGGACGACCGAGTGGAGGGTGAGGTGCTGTGAATACATACCGGATGAATCCCTCCACCGGTGTGGTACGAGTACCAATGACGGTGTCACAGTTACCACTGTGCGTTCCCACCATGCGTTCAATATGACACTAGATAATTAGATGAGTTTGTATCGGACATGAGTACATCGTTATTTCATATTGTCACAGAGCCTGTACGATACACTTGCAATCGGATCACTGTTTGTATGTATAGTTACGGGAAACAAAGTGGTACTTGATAACATACGTTACGAGCCGATAAAGAACCAACTGTCACCGGCATATCCTATGTCGGGAAAGCATAATTTTTTATGAGATGATAATGCGATGACCCTCTGCTCTTTCGAGATGATAATGATAACTATTTTCCACTGTCGTAATTCGGTGTTTTATGGCCATAATGGAATACGATGAGAGAAGGGGAGAGTAATGTGGCCTGTATCAGAAAGGGTGGAACAAAGAAACATGAAGCAACATGTGATGCTTGATCGAGAACTGTACACAACGGCGTACATACGACAATAATCCCCTATGGTAACCCGATAATGGACGTTGTACTCTGTGTGGAGACAAAACACCAATGTGAGAACAACCTTCATTGTCTCATTGAGGGAAATACAGTACTTAGGTACTCGAGTTTGGAATGAATGGGGGTTTGATGTTTGATTGTCCGACCAGTACCAAAACACCAGATGATTCAGGGCTCCATTTGATTGACAGCAAATGAAACTGTTGGATGTACTGGATTGAAGTTAAACGACAAATGGCTTTGAACAAAGACCTCAGATGAGTTTTTTTTAATGCCTATTTTAATATGGTTTCCACTTTGTTTTATTTATTTATCTCTCTTGTTGTTTTTTATTCGAGGTCTCATCAACAAGCCGACTGCGGTAACTCAATTAGAAAATCACAAAGCACCGCTGAGCGTTAAAACCCCGCGAGGTTGTTAAACATGGGGGATGGTTGGGTTATATGGATGTGGATGAGAGTAAACAGAGGAGGAACGTGGATAGTGTGAGCGAGCACAAGAGATAACGGGACAGAGAATAATTCGGTTAACTACGAGTCGAGTTGGGTACCACCTACAGCCCCCTCCATCTACAATCGCCCGACCCACCCATCCAGGTCGATATATCGCGTCCATTAACGATATGCACGATCAAACCTAATTATAATGGATCCCACTACGTCCCTATCCGTATACCCGCCCCATTTGGAAACCTCCAGCCCTCGGTTGTGTCCTTCTTGCCAAAACCGAAGGGAAACAACGGGCATCCCTCTCCCCTGCACGTTCGATTGATGCATGTTTATCGAGACTCAGAATCACAGGCTATCGATCGTGTATGTGACTCGCCAAATTAACATGATGCAATGAGTCTTCCTGGTAAACTCGATTCCAAGATACCGTGTGTCATTCAATCAATCTCCAAAGGTATCAAGATTATTAGCAATTAAAATATCCCGGATGGGAGGATTCTTCTCATGTAATCGAAAAAATGTGCTACTTTGCTGCAATCCATTCGTTCATCCTATGTTCAGAAAATTCGTTGGACGAATTCTCACGTCACTAGATCCATCCATTAACACCAATCGAAAAACAATCTCACCTCCATTTACGCTATGACCTTGCTGACTTCAAAGTGGCGGCATCGATCAAAGTTTCCGCAAGACCGTGACGAGACCTGAAGATCATCAATTTCTTTCACGCTCTATCTTTATCTCCGTCGTTCACTCTTTCTCTTTCGGAACTTTAATGCCTAACCTTTTGAGACTGAAGAACCGGTTCCACCTGATTTACCACCTTGAAGTATCTTTGTCCACCGGATGACAAGTTGCTCGGATTTTTTGTTCAATTCTCCCGATACACACCGATTCATTGTCATTGAACCTGAAACAAAAAAAGGCTCATAAAAGAAAAGAATTTGGAAGTGAGAGGGCCGGATGTAGATTCTGACACCAAAAACAACACTAATGACAACGGAAGTCCCGTATTTTTTGTGTTTGTACAAATGCGATGGCTCTAGAATTGTTTTGACAACTTTCTAAACCACCCACTAATGTCAAGCACGTTCGACTCACCGTAAAATAATAATCGCTCGCTCACAACCACTCATTGACAACCGTAGAATATCAAAAGGAGACACATCAATAAAAATTAGAGAGAAACGGATGAATAATAATGGTACACTTCATCCTCACTCTCCTGTCCCGTTTTTTTTGTAATAATTTCACACCATCGGTGTGGATGCACGTGAGTGGAGGATGCTATTAATGTAACGGGATTATCGGGTGTTACATAATGCTCTAGAAACTTCGTTACTTCCTAGCCCTCTAAAGCGAATAATTAAAGCACTTATCGATCTTGCGGCGAAGAACCACTGTTCCTCTATCGTTCGACGGCTTCTCCTTTTTACGTATAACTCTCTCCTCCTCTCTTCGCCTTCGCCATCATACTTGTTACAACAGGCATTCATAATGAGTAAACTTTGAAGCTTCGATGCCACGGAATCCTTTGACCAACTTTCCTCATAGATTAAACACTCAAATGTTGATTATCGGGATCATAACCTGAGCCCTACAGCATCTCTAGATGTTCCAGTAGAGTTATACAACTACATATTATATAGTTCAATAATTTTACAGGTCAAAGTTATCGCAGAAGCGAAACGTTATGGTACATAATATATTATTTTTATTACATATAATTATTTTTTCGATAAGGCTTTTTTGGTACATATAATTATTTTTCGATAGGCCTTTTTGGGACGCATCACCAGCCATGTCTTCGTCATGAGTCCTGGGCCGTGTTAGACGTAATAAATTAGAACCCGGAAATGAATTGAATTTTAGTTCAATATCCGGTGAAGGTGAACTTCAAATTGATTCCCATAATGAGGGAATTGCCACGTAACAAAATCTTACCCCAAAATTAAACGCTGTTAACTTTAAATTAACGACCTCGAAATTCCCATTTTCATAGAAATATCATCTTCGATTTGCTGCAGAAACTCTGAGATGATTGATTCTCAATCGTTCTTTGTTCTCAGTGAAATAATTTGTAACAAAAGTCGAGAGTATATACAACGTTCTACTACTTGTAACATCACAGGATATTGTTGGATAGAGTTTTGGAGTAGGTAGAACGGGAACCAGGATAATTCTCTATATTAGTTTATAATGAAAATAGATTGAAAAAAAGTTCATAGTCCACATGGAGATTTAAACCCGACCGCTTTGCTCTCCACACTGAGCTATTCGGCTCCTAGCCATTTCTTCATTTCAAATTTCTCGTATATATCTAACTCCACCGTCCTTCATACGACACTTCAAGTTTAAACGACAAACGTCATCAACATCATTGCAAACAACATTGGTCATTAATCAGTTTTGTGGTGAAATTTTTCAACAACTAGTCAATTATGGGAAGTAAGAGTTGGCGTACGTTGGTTTTATGTATCGATCCATTGTCACTGATTGCTCTCATTGTTTTGCAGGGAAGGGACGGCTTTACCCAGCCTACAGCCTGAGCGGCAGCGAGGGGGAGGATAATTCAGTGGGTACGCGGGGTGGCCGCGTCGGCTATTCCCAAAATAATCACCAGACCAGTCAGTCGCAACAGCACAATCACTACAATACGAGTCAGCACAAGCAGCGGGCTGGTAGCTTTCAGCAACAGCCACAGCAGCAACATCCTCTGTATCACGTAGCAAATAGTGGAGCTGGTCTTAGTGACACACCGACATCGGGCAACGCTTCGGACGAGACTCTCACGGACTGCGAATTGACGCATCTTGCGCGGGAGTGGAACGGTGAGTTGTGTAATTCTCATGATAAATCGGGCATTAATGTGCCATTAGTTGAGAAGGGAATTGAAAAAGAAAAAGAAGCCCATGAAATTCATTGGAACTCCATCAACGACAAACATAGCGCCTTGATTCTTGCCCTTCTAGCACCCCAACCATCCATTCGCAATGAGGCAAAATCGTGTCTCTGCATTACTCGAACATGATGAACGAGACGTGAGGCGAGGAGGTGCCACACCACGCATGCGGATTCGTGGCAGTAAACGAGGAGGGTTACTCGAAACGTGTGAGCTTGTCAGGAATGACGTATCACCCCGGAGGTGGTGTAGGTCGTGGCCGGGTGTAGTCGTTGGGCCGCCAGCCACAGCCTGCTTGCGCTCGTAGTAACCTGGTTGATATATACGAGTACAAAATTCGTCATTACAAATAATTGATATTGAGAAATTTCAATATCAATACGCGCTTGACAGAATACTCAGCGGCTAATGATGGCTTTTACATCACTGCTAACAATGAAAATCCCTGTGTAATCCTCATTTAATATTCTCTGTCCACTCAATTGTTCCAATAACGAAAGCTACCGCCAAGTAGCAATAGTCAACGATTCGTTCCGCTAGAAAAAGACACTTATGATGAATCGATCTTCCAAACGAATCACAGTCACTCTTGAGACAGCATACTCTAGCTTGTGCAAAAATATCCGGCACTTTGTCTGAATTGGAGGAACTTCCGGATGAATAAATATACGCCAAGAAAGAAGTTAGTTAGATATAGTTGTCTCGCTTATCATCGATCATGGCGATCTATTCTTCCGCGAGCAAATAGCTTGTTCCTTCATCCCCGTCGGTTCAAAGAGGGTGGCCTATTCGCCTTGGAGGCTCGTGCGTTTGACTTAGGGACAATTTGAATCCAGCTTCCAGCGTAAACTCACAATTGCTTCCTCGTGTATTAACATGACTATGGCCGTCATATACGTTATTTGGAGTAGGACATTAGACGATTGCATTAGCCAAGAGGCCGTTGAGCCCCCCCCCCCCTCCTGGCCGAAGGGACTTAACAAAAGTGTCCTCGATCATCTCCTTTCATATAGGTAGCCATGTCGTGACATTTTCGGGGAGGTTGTTACACTGTTAATGCTGACATCAGTTACAGGGTGACTGGGATTTTTGCACGGTGACGGCCTGTGCACACTAGCTGGCGTGACAAATGCACCGATACCACGCTATCCACTGTTGTATAACAGCATATACCACTTCTTGGCTTCCTCCAACTCGGTCTAATGAGACGGAAGCTATTCCGAGTATTCATTCGAACTACGATCAGAGTTACGTGGGGTTGGCCGTGCAACCACCGGCGATTGTATATCAAATGCTATAAAGCAGTACTCGTGATTGTCATCTAACGTCATTTCTGCATTCTCACGATATAAACAATGCACATAAAGCCCAGAAATATCTACCACAAATTTTACTTATCGGTTTAATTTAATCCCTCAATTTCAACGCTACAATTAATTCATAATTTCAAAACTTTATGAGACGATTATCATTCACTCAGCATCAATAACCACCTCAACATAATACCTTAAGTGTGTAAATACACCTCTGATGGTAAATGTACTTTATAGAGAGTAGGATCGTTGTGAATCTTGTATGTACAGAAGATACATTTCGTATCTCCTAAATGCACGTGCAAGCGGCTTAAGTTGCTCGTACAGTAGCACCGCGCGAACAGATTTCCATTGAGTTCTTAAGTGCAACGGCATCGTCGACCTGCTTTCGATCACCTCCTTGTGAAGCATGATTCTCCCGTATAAATTTATAATTTTCAACACCAACATCTTGAATACCAATGCATTCACGAACATTATGAGATGAAAATTTGCATTCGTTGGAGATAGTAATGCTTCTGACAGAGACGGTGGAATTTCATTGATGAATTTAGCTTCAGTGAAATCTAGTGATCTTAAATTATCATGATCCGATGTCTTCATTGATGGCGGATGTTCCTTTGTCTTCAGATACTTGGTGGCTTTCACTGGAGCAATTGATATTCGATCTGTCGCAGAGCCGATCGGCTGAAGGGTAAAAAAGACAGGGAGATATTGATGGGGCCGGAAGGGAAGGAGAGCTCATCAGTGAAGTGACGTGGAAAAATGCTTTCTCTCTCTCAGTTTCACTATAAACGATCTTGTTAAGGGTCTTCAGGTCAAAGAAGAACGGGATTAAGTCAAAGTCACTGCAAGTCAGAAGGGAGAGGTGAACTGCGACGGTTCAATAGGGAGGTTGGGAGTCCCTTTTCTTGAGTTTCCTCGATCGACGACGTGAATTTCCCCGAGGAAGAAAGTCGGTTTATAAATAAAGATACAGGGAGCGAAAGAGGCGCACATCAATAGTAGTAGATCCACGAGAATAGCTGCTGAAGCTGACTGTGAATCTTGCGCCTCTCTAGCTAGACTCAAAACTCATCTTAACATCCACGCAACCGGCTGTAATCCCGAGGAGGACAACCAGGTAGGTAAATAAAAATCAATACATGCTTTCCGCGTCACTCTATCCTCTCTATTTCTCTCTTCTTCTCCCTCGCTCGTCGTCCCCAGCACTGAGGGGATTTGGTCCCAGACTTCAGCAACCTATACTCGAACGTGGGGCACGCGCGTCTTCCCTTCTCTCGCGTTCCGTTTCGCGCCCAATTTGCGGCCCATCATCGCTACGGAAGAAGCAATTTCTAACTTAAATGAAACTCCCTCTTGGTTGGCACGAGCAATCGACAAGCGGAGCTCCAGACCTATAACGTGCCGTACCATCTCATCCTCTTTGCCCTTACTATCGACACACACATACAGGAAGGTGAATGGCAGTTGCAATAGGAATTTTCCAGTGCTCTACTCTGGCCGGGGCTTTGAATATCCTTAAACATCTTTCAATCTGCTTCACGTCAACTCAGCATGCTCATCAGTTTCAGGTGTGTCAAGTCCTGCTCCCCTATAAACTTCACGCTGTGAATCGTTCTCTATCCTGCTCTACTCACATGTAATGTCGCCAGGATTGGGGACATCCAATCCGGATTTACCGAGACCTGATTAGCCTGATATGCCTTCCTGAAACAAACGGATATGCCAGTTATAACCGTCCAGAAGATTGGGAAGGAAGTGGATGAGAGGGTGGGTGTTGGTCGAGAATTTCACGATGAAGCTGAACGAGAAGTTCGATAATCTTCCCAGCCTTGGACCCAAGTTTGGCAATCAATGCCAAGTAACAGTTTAATTAAATACAGGGCCAGGGTAACCATCTACTTGTTTACATGAAAGACAGAGTAATTGTGCTGTTAGCTCGGATGCCAACCCCCAATCGAGATTGCGGTGGAGATGAGATCGCGAGGCGTCGATGAAACTCGTTCAGAAATGTCGTTTTCTGGTTGCTCAGAGGTTATCGGAGGTGTCCAAGTATTTCAATAAGCTAAATGAAGTTCATCGCAATTGGAGGATGACTCCTTGATTACTTTTCTTCGAGAATTCAAAGTATTGAAGACAGTTGGAAGTGAGGTAACAATTCGGTTGATGTGAGTAATGGGATTCGCCAAATATTGCTGAACATTTGTTTGCAGTCTACGAGTGTGCTCCCTGAGGGAATTGACTAACTGAATTAGTTCACTTAACGGTTAACGAACCGCTGATGTTCAATTGAGTGAACTGCTTCCCATCCACAGAAAATGAGTATTTCATCTAAGTAAACATTCGGATACGGATTTCAACTATGATGTTTGTTAAAGTAATAAGCATTTTGCGGTGGACTTTCAACGTCGACATTACATTATTCATCAAAATATCAAGTAATGGAAGCAATCGTTGTTTTCGAACTTATCAATGTGACAAGTTTGAAACTATCGGGAAAACTTGAGGATTGCAGAAATTCATGTCAAAGTATTGGAAATTTTTTGAAATTTCATGGAAGATATTATCGTAAATCTCATGAGGGTGACATTAAATCGAATTTAGGAAAAAAATTGTTATGAAATTTCAAGTTTTAAGTAGAACTCACGGAAACCCATGAGTTTTCAGCGGGAATGAAATGAAAATTTCGCAACTTGATTGAATTTTCCGTAAAACATCAATATTCAGAAACAAAATAACATGAATTTTCAATTTTTCCCTGAATTTTCTTGATTTTTCTGAATTTTCACAGAATAATTGTACTGAAAAATCAAGTATTTTACTGATTTCCAGATCATTTAAACAGAAAATCAATGGAATATTTGATTTTTCAATGACCAGATTACCTGAAATTTCAGTGGAACGTGAATACGATAAAGATTTTCGTCTGAATTTTCCGTGCCAAATTCCAAAAATTTTTAACAGTGCATGTACGAAACCTTTTACACCATTTCAAAACTTTGGTCATAATATCTGAGTTCAACCTAAAGATTTTTGAAAATGAGAAAAATTCAGCATCGGTTTTAGAAAATGGTATTGTTATAAATTCGTTAGTGGTCATCACCCCACAACCCGAGTGGAAATTCCACTCAGTTAGCTTGGATCTACATTAGGTTTAGGTTCAATACTGGTCAGAATTTATTGATTAGACTTTCGGATCAAATCTCGACTAGATCCGTATCGGATCCAGTACTGTTCAAGAAGATCGAATCCTAGAATGTTGACCAGGCATGGACCCAAACAAGCGTTACATTTCTGATCCAAAATTGATCAAAATCAGTTTTCAGTGGTCAGTCTCTTATTCTAACCTAATTTGAATTTCCACTCGGGAAAGGATAAAACTTAAGAAGAGCAACTTTCTAAAATCTATAAACTTCTTTCTAGAATTAATCAACTTTTTTTCTCTGCCCAAGAGAATTTTTGGAATACCGTCGTGCTCATCCGCAGACTCACCCACATACCAATTGGCGAGCTCCCCCCATAACTGACTAGCGCATTCATCCCTAAAGTTTTTTGAAACCTCTTCATTTCTAAGACACCTTAGCAACGGTTTACGCATGAGCTTTTTACTCATCTACCGTTACTATGCACTACATTACAGGACTGTTTTTCCCAATGTAGTGATGCCGCAAGACGCGAGAGAAATGAGACGAGACGAGACAAACGAAAGGACAGACATGAGACGAGACAAGAGGAGTCACTCGAGACAATGACAGAAACGAGACGAGACGAGATAGGCCGGTCGAGAACGAGAGAAACGAAAGGCGAGACGAG